GGGGGCAGAGCCACAGGGAGCAGACAGGAGGGGCAGGCGGCCAGGTCAGGGGAGGCGCAGGGCCCCAGGGAGGGAGAGTGCCTGCCCAGCACCGCCCCCTCCTGCAGCCCCCACCCCCAGCCTGGGCCCGGGGTTGGCCTGGAAGCTCTGGAGAACGGAGGCACTCGGTCTGGACAACAGGAGACAGCCCTGGCCACCCCGCCCACACGCCCCATCCCGGGGCTCCAGGGGCCAGTGTGCTGTGTCTCGCAGCTGCCAAGGCCCGGGCCCCGGGGAGGAAGGTACCTGCTGTGGTCTGCAAGCCGGGCTCCCCAGGGCACAGGCTGTGAGAGAGGCAAGAGGCCAAGCCAGGGCTCCGCCTCTCTAGTGAGGAGGCCTGCGGAGGAGACGAGCAGGATTAGGGCCCGCGGCCAGACAGGGCGGTGGAGGGTCAGAGCCAGCCCCGGGGGCATGGGGCACCAGGTAACAGGAGGCCTCCGCGGGCTGCGGCGGGGGGCAAGGCGGGCCAGGTGTGTAGCTGCGCTGGACTCCAAGCATCCCTGCGGAGACAGGCAGGGAGGGCCTAGGGCCGGCGGCGGGAACAGCACCCCCAGGCACCGTGAGGAGCCTGAACAGCCGGCCACCAGCAGTGCTGATCACAGCCCAGGACACGGGGCCCAGGTGACCCAGGCCCACACACAGCCCTGGTGCCACACCCCGCAGCCAGGTGCTGACACCACAGCCACTGCACAAGGGACCAGCCTCCGAAACTTTGTCTTAAAAAGGCAAACAGCCACTATGGAGAAGTCTGGCAATTCCTCCAAAAGTAAACAGTTACCAAATGACCCAGCAATTAATTCTACTCCTAGGTACACACTCCAAAGAATCAAAAACATGTATCCATAAAAGGTGTACACACGTCTTCACAGAAGCATGACTTACCACAGCCAAAAGGTGTAAACACCCAAATGCCCATCACCAGGTGAATGAATAAACAAGACGTGGTCCATCCTTATGATAAAATATTACTTGGCCATGAAAAGGGGTGAAGCTCTGACACTCGCTACCAGGTGGACAGACCTTGAGAACAC